CTTCCACTGATTGGCAGGTCTTAGATGACGACTATATTGCGAAGTATGCATTAATGCTATCATCTTTTCTTAACTTTGCCCTTGCCTGACGTTGTCCAGAAGAAAAGATGCAGGAAACAGTTGACGGATCGACATCTCACATGTTTATGCCGAACAGAAAACGATCGCTCCGCAAAGTGGATTATTCTCAGTGCAGATCGATTAAAAAATTCATCAAAAGTGAGATCCATCGACTGAATCATTACATCATATATGGGGGGATGGTATAAGATCATTTACAGGATATGGTCGCGTAGCGACTACTACAACGTTTGACCCTGAATATCTCCATTCCGATGTTCTGAGAAACAAAAATCCAGACACCTTAGTTTGTTCAAAGTCTGCGTGCCGCTAAAGATGGATGTTTTCATAGCTAATCGCATTGGCTGATGCTTTTCCTGACTAAAATCTTACCTCACAACGAATCCCAATGTTGTGAGAGCAATGGCCTTAAAATATTGTTCGAAAGAACTCTTCCATCCTTGTCTATGTGCTTAACCGCAGCTTGCGAGATTGCTGCTTTTCGGACGTATAAAGACTCTCTAGAATAGTATCAATTCTTGAAGCTCAGTATCTGGGGAGGCCAAAATACTTCCGTCCCATCGTAAAGAATTGCCATATCTGTCACTAATACTGCCATCATCAATGGCAGTTCGGTTAAAAAAAATTGCTGCACTTTAGACGTTATCGCCTATTTTTTGACGTCGTGGACAGAAAACTTCGCCACACGGTTTATTTCATACGCTCTCTTCTGTTGGACTACAGCTCCGCATTTAAGTGCGTTCCAAGAGCAGGTTTTTTAAGGGAACTGTCCTTACTTGGGCTTAATCATCTCATGCTGCAACGGCTGTCAGAATATTTTCCCCAAAGGACACAGTTTACAGCGGTGAGCGAAAAATCAGTCTTTAACAGCAAAACATCGGAGTTTTTCCGAGTTCAGTATTACCACCAGTTTTATTTATTTTCCACATAAATAGTCTCCACGCACGAAAGCCATCCTTCTTCCTGCACAAAGTACGCGGACTACAGGCCTTGATCACAGGCGACGTGCTTAATCTTATAATTAAAAGGATACTGCCATGGTCAGCATCTCATGGACTGGTTTTCAACCCACTGAAGTGTACGGAATTAATGTTTTCCAGCTTATCCATAAGTCATCCTTTATCAACCTTGGCTGATCATCGTAGACCTAAAGTGGACACGCAGCTGCAAATCATTTGCAACACAGAAGTGTCTCAGTCTCACCGTCAGTAACAACCACTCCTTGCATAACCGTGTACAAAGGGTAAACGGGAAGATGCATAAATTTGCTATTTTTAATTTAGGCTTCAGCAGATTTCGAACAGTCGCAGTTATGCAAAATTTGTATTCTTGTGTGCTCCCAGTAATAAGTTTAACGTGTGAAAATGAAGCAGATAAATGACAAAAACACAGTACAACGACTGTTTCGTGCGGAATCGATCACAACACTTCTAGACTAGAAGGATAACTTTTAATCAGAGCAGTTTATGATCTTCGCATCCTGAACGATGGTTTAAGGAAGGTATGCTCGCACTCTCATAATTATTTTCCGTATTCATGACATCCTGATCCTAATATAATTACCACTAGAGACTGATTATTCAGCAAATTTCCCTTATTATTTCGCGGCTGATATGAAAGTCGCTGAACTGCGTTCTGCAAACCACGAAGTCCTTAAAGAATCAATCGACTCTGTCTTAGCCAGTAGCCGAATCGATGACAGTAAATAAACATATATCTAATTTGAAGAAATGCTTAATTTTATTTTCCTCGTAAAAATATGTACCTTACAGATATAATTAAGACGGT